GGCTTTGGAGGCTGTCCTGGAACTAGCTCTTGTAGGCCAGGCTGGTCTCGAACTCACAGAGATCCACCTGCCTCTGCCTCCCGAGTGCTGGGATTAAAGGCGTGCGCCACCACTGCCCAGCTCCAGACCTTTTCTTTATTCTTTTGCATTCTCTAGTCTTTATTTTCCTGGTGATTTTCTTCTCTCATTCTTGATGTTTTCCTTCTAACTCTATTCTTCCTTGTTTTCTCTTTCTTGATGTTTTTCTTCTAATTCTGTCTTTATTCTTGATGTTTTCCTTCTAACTCATTCTTAATGTTTTCCTTCTAACTCATTTTAACTCTATCTTTATCCTTTCCCTTACAGCTTATATACCCAAGGAAAATCTTTCAGGCAATATAAAAATTACAGTGTGGTTACATTCTGTTTTTCAAGTGAATGATTACAATGAATACAAGTAAAAAAGAAAAAAAACAGCATGTTTTCCATATCCCTTACATAATTAAACATTTTACATATTACAGGTGGAAAACAGATTATCCCAAGAACCCATGTACACTTACACCCAAGTAAGTTGTTATAGATTAACAATGTGTAAGCAAGCAAAGTATTCTTTTACTGGCAGGCTGCATTTTTTGGTTACAAAGAAAGGACCAATCACTTTATTACTTATTGTGAAAGGTAATCTTATAAGGAATCACAAATCTAAACTTTTATATATGAAAAAATCAGTCAGCTCTACTTTAAATCTTTAGGTACATAACCATTAATAGTTTTCTTTTTTAATATCAGAAGATTGAGGGCAAAAATGAGTATAAGAAATTAACCATCACCTTTGGTCATCAACCAATCCTAGCAAGAAAGGCATGTCAGCTAATAATTGGGCTGCTTTGTTCTTGTTCTCTGACCCTACAGAGTTCCTCTTTCAACTATATGCTGTTCTAAAACTTTAGATTGTCTTCTTGGGTTTTTCACTTCAGAGCCATTTAACAAAGGCATCTTAGTTTAATTTTAAGTTATTTTCAAAGCCTTGTTTCAGCTATGAGGCACTCTGAAACCTGTGAACACATCTCCCAACATTAAGGCTAAAAGAATGTAAGTGCCAGGTGGTGGAGGCGAGCACCTTTAACCCCAGCACCTGGGAGGCAGAAGCAGGTGGATCTCAGGGAGTTCAAGGCCAGCCTGGTCTACAAAGTGAATTCCACTGGCAATATGGAGCTTGATACTTCCACCCATAACATACACGTGCTCTTTTCCAGAGATCACTGAATGAGACTGAAGATTCCAGCCATGCAATCATGTGGTCCTTCTAGTGAGTGACCATGTTTGGAGACTAGGGGTTGTGCTTTTTCACCATAGATGCTGAAACCAGGCTATACTTTTAAGCTACTCAACATTACATAAAACTGAATTTTGAGACTGTGCCTTGCCCTGAGAGATACTATTTTATAAGCAGCATTTGGCTCTATTTGGGTAGAAACAAAGACAAGGATGCCTTTCTCGGTACCTTGGAGGCATGTGAATAACATAGTCCATCTGGCACCACCTACAAGGCACAACTGATAACATTTCTAAAGTAAAAACAATACCACCCTATATTGTCAAAGTAAGTTGATATCATATGGGCATTTTAAAAATGTGTCAAGAAATTCAGCAAGAACTTACTGAGCATACTTAGGGTTTCTGGTGCTGTGAAAAGACACCATGACCACAGCAACTCTTACAAAGGAAAGCATTTAATTGGGGCTGGCTTACAGTTTCAGAGGTCTAGCCCAGTATCATCATGATGGGATATAGCAGTGTGCAGGCACACATGGTGCTGGAGAAGGTGCTGAGAGTTCTACATCCTGGTCCTCAGGAAACAGGAGTCTGTACTAGGTGTAGCTTGAGCATACATGCGACCTCAAAGCCCACCCCACAGTGACACACTTCCTCCAACAAAACCACACCTACTCCAACAAGGCCACACCATTTTCTTTCAAAGCACCACACTCCCACTTCCTGGCCCCCACAGGCTTATAGCAGTGTCATAATGCAAAAATGCATTCAGTTCAACCTCAAAAGTCCCCATAGTCTGTAAACAGTCTCAAACTTATTTAAAAGTCTAAAAGTAATCCCCTGTAAAATAAATATTAGAAAAGGAGATCAAATACTTCCAACATAATGGCACATGATTATATATATATATATGTATATATATATATATATATGTATATATATTATTATTATTATTATTATTATTATTATTATTATTATTAT